GCAGCAAAATCAGCTCCCGATTCCCGTCAACCCGACTCGGTCTACAAGCCGATCGAGCGCAAGGCCAAACTACTTCAACCCGCTCCGCGTGCCGGCCAAGCTCCAGGCGCAGCTCCCGTTTGCGAGCAAGCCCAAGTTGGACAAGAAGAAGGGCAAGAAGACCGAGTCGTATGTCACCAAGCGCGCGGTCGTGCTCGAGCCCGAGGAGCGCAAGAAGTACGCGCTCATTCAGCAAGTCAACACGCTCCGCCGCGAAAAGAATGCGATCCGCGTCGCCAAGCAAAAGGAGCGGTCCAAGGAAAACCTCAAGCGCAAGGCCCGCGAAGAAGCCAAGTTTGCCGACGTGCACAAGGCCGAGAAGAAGGCCAAGTACCGCGCCGCGGGCAAGGAGGCGGCGTACCGTGCGTCCAAGGCGTAGAAGCGTTTCCACTGTATTTCGTATTGCTAGATACTTTAACACATCAACCCTAGACTGCACGAGCCGTGTTCGAAAAGTTGGGTCGAGCTACATGAGCGTGATGCGCGTTATCGTTGGTGCAGTATACAGACTTTGCATACGTCGAGACGGGCAATTGATTGCAAGTCTCGCAGAGGCCGAAACAAAGCCCAATTGGGTGTCGTGGCCAATTATTGCACCGTCTCGGGCACTCGGTTGAACGTCGCCAAGTGCAAGGTGCTGGCATTGAACCAGAACCGTCCTCCTCCAACCTGGACCAATCTGACGGTCGTCGCCACGGCAGTGCGGTACCTGGGCGTCCAGTTTGGCCACAAGCTATCAAAATCGTTCCACGACGATCAGCTCGTTCGGATCGTCCAATCGAGCTTGCTCAAGTGGGGGAAACGTGGCCGCACGCTCATTGGACGTACCCTCGTGGTGAAATCCAAAGTCCTCTCTCAGATATGGTACCACACGGTGGTGACACCGCTGTCTGTAAAAGCAGTCACCACGATTCAACGCATGATCCACGTCTACATCCTTGGCGCCAAGTACAAGTCGAACGAGAAGCACCACAGCCTGCTCGAGCAAGGGCTGCAATATGACAAATGGCTGGGCCTGGGTCCCCCGCACGTCCAGTCCCACATCCAAGCACAACGCGTTCGACGACTCCAACGCGACTTCGACCCCAGACCGGCACCGTGGAAGACGCTGGTACTCCAGACCTTCAATGACGTCAGGCCGGGACTACTACGACCGGGTACCGCTGACATTTTGTGGCACCGACCCGGGACGAATGGGAAAGCGCTGCCTCACACGCAATTGTCCAAGTTGACAGCCGACATGTGGCGCACCTGGTCTCGTCTGCCATGGACTGTCCGGGCACCGTGCACCACGGACGCAATTCAACTACTTCCAGCGCCAGTGTGGTTCAACGACCGGTACGGCAATGCCACAAGACGGCGCAAGCGTCTTCCCTGCGGGGATAAATTGAAGCAAACACTGGTTCAAGTTGCACTCCAAAAAGGACACGTTGGTTACGACGATTGTGTAGACTATTTATTGATGAATATAGAACTACTATTCATCATCACGGTGCTATTCTTGGTCGCTCACGGGCATGGGCAACCACGTGAGCGCGTACGTCCCGACGCACCAGCGGCTGCACGTGCTCGAGAACACGCCGTTCGCGATGTTCCTCAACAAGGAAGTCCTCCACGACATTGCACTTTGCTTTGGCACCATCAAGTTTGAAGCCGGCGCACCGATCGCGTTTCAGAAGCACGAGCTCGTCATCGTCGCCAAAGGCAGCGCGGACGTGAGCACGATCGTGCCCCAGACCGCGCACAAGAAGGTCAAGGTCACCGAAGTCCTCTGCAAGAAGCGCGTCGGCGACATCTTGACCAACGTCACGAAAGCCACGGCCATCATGCAGCGCAAGTCGTCCACGGCGGCGGCCAGTTACGCCAGTGGCAAGAACGTCACAGCGATGCTCGACCTCGTCACCGTACGAGGATTCGATCGGCCTCAACGCGATAATAGTACGGTCTTTCTTGGTAGGTGACGGCAGACAAGAAGGAAGGCTGCGTCGTCTTGCGACTCAACCGAGAGCGTTTTCTCAAAATTCGCTCCAAACACATCCGTGACGTGCGACGACGACGCAACTCCAACGCGATCTGCTTCAACCATCGTCATTTGTAGGGCACGTACCATTTGACAATCAACCGCGCGACCAAGTCAGCCACGGACGACTGGCAGCTCATCTCGTCGATTGCGGACGAGCAAGTTGTCGACTATCTCGGTACGAAATGGCATTGTAGACTGCTGGAATGACATCCAAGTAGCTGGTGTCCCCTTCTTTGCCGACGTGACGAGCACGCGGCTCCTCGGCCTTGCGGGTCTCTGCTCGTTCCTCGTTGTGCAGAAAGATGACGTGGTGTGCCGAGAGAACGACCTCGGCGACCGCTTTTACATCTGCATCGAAGGCCTCTTGCAGGTGACGGTCGCCAACCAGACCGCCAAACCCACGCTGCGCGTCTCGTCCAAGTCCATATCGCAGCGCCGCCTCGAGCGCCACCGGCCGTCGCTCGCGATGAGCGAAGTGCTCATTCGGCGGCTCGCGAACGGCAGCTACTTTGGCGAGATCTCGCTTTTGCTCAACGTCAAGCGCAGTGCAACGGTCAAAGCGGTCGAAACCTCGCTCTTGGTGTACATTGAAGCGCCGGCCTTCCGCAACTTTATCAAAGTCTGTCCGGATGTCAAGTCGGCGCTTCAAGAAGGTACTACGCACTGCAACATATGTTGTGGACAAGGTGTCTTTGTATGATTAGTCATCATTGCGCGCTTGCTGCAAATCACCACCAAGCACAATGTGCACAACTTTGTCGCGTCGATGAAGGGCGAGGACCAGTGCCGCATGGCCCAAGCTGGCTCGCTCACCGAAGTCGCAAAAGGCACCACGTTCATCCACGAAGACGACGAGCCGAGTATTACCGTTTGTGCTGCAAAGGCTCGAGGGCTTAGCATCTTCCTAGTGTTTTATATCGTCTTGAATGGCCTCGTCGAGGTCGAGTACCCGTTTCCGACGGGCAAGTCGTACGTGACGCTGCCGCCCGGCGGCTACTGCGGCGAGATCTCCGTCATGCTCCACTGCAAGAGCCTCATCACGGCAACCGCGGCCGAAGACTCGATCTTGCTCGCGATGACACCACTTGCGTTCCATGGTCTCTTCTCCACGCTGCGCGAAGTCTTTTCCGAGTTTCTGCTCCGAAATCTCCAGGAACTCGCGCGCATCGAAGATGTCATTGATCACTACGAAGCGCACGAGCTATGGCTCGTCTATATCGAGTCGAGACCGACCAACTACGGCGAAGCAACGCGGTACGCATGTCGCCCCGCTGTCGTTTTATGAACTCGGTCGTAGAACCATGATGAACGGACTTGGTCTCTTGGAAGAGATTGAAGAATTCGTGGCTGGCTTTGCGTCCATGGACTACGACGAGCTCCGGAAAAACGCGCGGACGATCGTCAACGACTACTTGAGCCTCGGTGCTTCCAAGCGCGTACTCGCTATTCTTGCATATAGCATTCCATGTTGATAGGATCTACAACGCTAGGTGCCTATTTCGATCGAGGCCGTCGCGGCCGTGGTCGCCGCCGTGGAGCTTCCAGAGCTGGACAAAGGACTCTTCCGGGCAGCCCGCAATGAGATGCTCGGGCTCCTGGGCGGCCCCACCTTTACGGAATTCAAGCTGTCCAAGAAATTCAAGGAGCTCCTCGAGTCGTATGCATGCGTGCCAGACATCCCGAGCCACCTCTCGCCGAGCATGCGGCGGCAGCTCAGCTTTGAAGAGTTTTGCCGCCTGCCGCACACGATTGTTCATACATACAGCTGGAGCCACCCGGATCGAATGCAGTCGTTCCAACACCTCCGACCAGAGGATGCGTAGCGCATTCTACGGAGCTCTCGTCGTTCGTAGAGTAGTACTAGTTGATAGTCGTTTTCCCAAAATGTAATTACACAGAGCACTACACGGCTTGCATCGTGATCTCGATCCAGCTCGCGTGACGGTACCAGACGCGGCGTAGGCTCCACGAGATGTTGCGGCTTGCAAAGCACGGGCGGCGGTTGAGTCGGCCAAGCTGGCGCACGGCGGCGTCCTCGGCCTCCTTGATCTGGCCCCACGCGCAGTAGAGCGAGAGCCCGCCCGTGCAGATGCAGCAACCATACCCGACCGACATGCAAGGAACACATGGCCAATGGTCGATGAGCGCTTCGTTCACGAGCTTCATGGCCGAGGTAAAGTCCTCTTCCGACATGAACGGCGCCAAGTCGGGCGGGAACCGTGCGTCGTACTCGTTGGCGAGGCCATTGATCCACGTGTCGCCAATTGCGGGCAACTTGCAGACCATCTTGGCCACGGTGCTATTGCTGCTTATCGGGACGTTCGGCTTGTGCTCCGAGACGACGACGCCCAGCGAATGACTCTGAATCTCGGCGGGTGCAATGCTCGTCCAGAAGGCCGGCGCGGCTGCGTCCGACGGTGTCTCGACCCACGTGCAGAAGACGCGGAGGAGGTCGGCGGTCGTGTCGAGCTCGCTTGTCTTGACGAGCGCGTCAATGTGGATGGCCACCGACGTCGCTGGCTGCAACACGCCTTGGTCGGGCTGCGCGCGGTACCGGCTGTCGTCGGATGGCAGGACCTGGAAGGCCACCGGGTACTCACAGTTGGACGTGAGCGTGAAGAGCGCCACGGACGACGACCCGCAGAACTCGACGCTCTCGGTCGAGACGAGCAGAAGCGGCTCCAAGGTCAACGATCGCATTGCAGTCCGAGGCGACCAACCTGCTTCTGCCCACCTGCGTCCTTGAATCGAAGATCGGACTTAACGTGTTGTACTTGGTGTTTGTATGTCGTTGGCAAGTGCACTGGATCACATCTCATGTTCTGACGCTAATTTCACGCAACCCTCCTGCGGCAACAGTCTCGTCAGATCGTGGCCAATGCACGAGCGTCGGGTCAGCACAACATGCAGGCTACTGGTAATACATACCTCGGTAATAACGAGACGAGCGCTCGTACTGACAGAAATACTTTGCCAGGAAACCGCAGACTGAATTCCGCTGAATTTGCAGTTGCGTGTTACTAGGCCCTAGCAAAAGATGAGCTGGCGTCATGGCAGCGTCATCTCTTCCGTTTCGACGCTGCAAGTAGACACGTCAAAATATGGGCATGGACCACTGGATTGTAGTACCCTACTGCAACGTGACGACGACTTCAGCACGTTGCGACGCGCGATGTGGTATCTGGCGTCGGTCCGGACAGGTGGCGTGTTTTTAGAATCGCACTTGAACGGATCGATTTCGAAAGAGTTGTGAAGCTTCAGCGCAAGGTTGAAGATGACGGAAGCCAAGAAGTCCAAGGTCATCTTCGGCGACGCATGGCCCGATGAGGTCGTGGGCTACGTCGCCGAGTACCTCG